TCCCATCTAGAGCAGTCCCTCTAAAATACCCTGTAGAGGTGGTATTGTCTGGGAATTGTTTAATCCCTCCTTCATATTTAAATGATAATCATGCTGTATACAGTATCCTTGGTTCAAGGCCCTTCTGTTTCATTGCATTAAATATATCATGCCATTCTCTTCTGGCCTGTAAGGTTTCTGCTGAGAAGTCTGATGATAGCCTGATGGGTTTTCCTTTGTAGGTGACATTTTTTCTTTCTCTGGCTGCCTTTAATATTCTGTCCTTGTCCTTGATCTTTGCCATTTTAATTATTATGAATCTTGGTGTTGTCCTCCTTGAGTCCCTTCTGTTGGGAGTTCTGTGGGCTTCCGTGGTCTGATTGACTATTTCCTCCCCCAGTTTGGGGACGTTTTCTGAAATTATTTCTTCAAATACACTTCCTATCCCTTTTTCTCTGTCTTCTTCTGGTACCCCTATAATGTGGATATTGTTCCATTTTGATTGGTCACAGTGTTCTCTTAATATTGTTTCATTCCTGGAGATCCTTTTATCTCTCTCTGCATCAGCTTCTATGCATTCCTGTTCTCTGATTTCTATTCCATTAACAGCCTCTTGCATCTCATCCATTCTGCTTTTAAGTCCTTCCAGAGATTGTTTTATTTGTGTATTTTCCCTCCCAACTTTATCCGTTAGCTCTTGCATTTTTTTCTGCAGCTCCATCAGCATGGTTATGACCTTTATTTTGAATTCTTTTTCAGGAAGATTGGTTAAGTCTATCTCCCCAGGCTCCTTCTCAGGGGCTGTGTCTGTGATTTTGGTTTAGATCAAATTCTTCTGCCTTTTCATGGCGATAGAGTTCATTGTGGGCAGTTGACATCTGTGTCAGCTGGGAAACAAAGTCTGTTCCTGTTTGCCGGTCGCCTTCCTTTCCTGTGAGAACAGCGACCCCAGCGGCTTGTGCTGGGCAGCTGTGCACCGATGGGGCCTCTAAGTCTGGCCCTGCAGTGGCGGAGGTGGCTCTGCATGGCTGCTGTGGGCGTGGCCAGCCTCAGGCTGCTGCTCCGCTATGGCAGGCCGGTGCCAGAGGGGGAAAGGGTGGGAGGCTGTTTATTGCTGTGAGGGGCCTCAGAGCTGCACTGCCATTCAGGGGGTAGGACTCCCAGAGTTCCCTGAGATTCCCAGCTGCTGGGCTGAGTGTGCTGGGACGCTTCTGTCCAGCTGTGAGGCTCCTGTCCCTTTAAGACTTTCAAAAAGCACTCGCTTTTCTTTTGCCCCAGGGGCATCGGCTGCAGGGACCCGCTCACAGGTTTTACTGTCCTGTTTCCCTAGTGTCCAGCACACCAAGCACTGTGTGTCTGTGCTTCTGATGCAGATGGCTGGGGTTGGGTGTTTAGCAGTCCTGGGCTCCCTCTCCCTCCCCGCCCCGACTCCTCTCCTCCCACCGGGAGCTGGGGTGAGGGGCGCTTGGGTCCTGCTGGGCCACGGCTTGTATCTAACCCCCTTCGCGAGGCGCTGGGTTCTTGCAGGTATAGATGTAGCCTGGCTATTGTACTGTATCGTCTGGTCTCTCTTTTAGGAATAGTTGTATTTGTTGTATTTTCAAAAATATATATGGTTTTAGGAGGAGATTTCCACTTTCCTACTCATGGCGCCATCTTGCTGAGCATCTCCCTAACATTTTTAAGTTGTCTTTTTCTTGAATCAGTGTTTCTGTGGTTGCTATAAATCTTTGAATATTTTCCAGTGTTCTGAAACAGTTAATTCTAACAGTTTCTGCTTGTTTTTTGATGTTTCTATGGAGAGACAGGAGCTTGGTGGTGCCTATCCCTGGCTTATGGGGTTTTGATGTATATCTTGAAATTGCCTGTGGTGTCTTTCTGCTTGAGGGTATCTGGGTATTTTAGGCTATGTAGGTGTAAATGCAATTAGGAAGATACACAGAAGAGAGCTGGGGGCTGGTTTGAATATTTTTGTGGTATATTCAGCATGTGGGGCCTGGGAAGAAGGCAGCCTGGGTACTGAGAAACTCCTGAAAAGGGAGATTTCAATTTGGCCATTAAAAAACTTTAGCAAGTTCTAAAATTTGATTAGCCTCAGGAGAGAAGAGCTGAAAGTTCTTTTGGCTTTCCCTTGACTGTATCCCTAGGGTTTCTCTGAACTTGGACAGATTAAGTTCCTAAGTGTATAAGTCTCTTTGGGGACACACTGGGGAAAGAAAGAAAGGAGGAGAAAGTCAGAGACAATTTTACTTCCCATAGCACTATTATTACTGGACTTTTCCCATAGTGTTAGCATGAAGACAGCTTTCTCTGTCACTGAGGGCGAAGATAGCAGCAGCCTCCTTTGGGCCGCACAGCATGCCCAGCATTAGACAGGAAAGAGGTGGCCTGGGATGATACCTGGAGAGCCATAGAACTTTCTAGTTCTGTCTCTGTCTCTGGAGGTGAGTGTCTTTCAGTAGTTTCCCTCTGTGAAGGACAGGATAGAGGGGATAGGAATGGTAAGTTCTGGGCCCTGCTGGTGAGCAGGCTGAAGAGTGAGCAGAGCAGATGGGCCCCTGCACAGAGGAGAGCAGATTCAGCTTGTCTCTGACACAATGCTGGGCGCAGGCAAGTTCCCTGCTCTTGTCAGGACCCTCCTTTCATCTTTCTTTTCATCTGATCCTGGATAAACAGAAATCATGGCAGCAGGCTACTGAGCTCTCCTGACAACTCTATCCTTGATCCTTGTTACCCAATTACCATTTCATAAGGGATCTCCAGTGAGAGGACTGCATGTCAACAGGGCAGTGTTCCTGTGAAGACTGAAGGGACAGAAGGCAGAGTTTACCTCAAAATTGGCCACAGCCAGGAAAAGCTTTGTTCATAGATTAATCTTTTAATTGACTGACTGATTGATTCACTCAAAAATATTCATTGGCTATCAGTAAGCAAGTGTGACAAAGTTTACACTATAAAATAGGAGACAGAAAATAAACAAAATGTGAAAATATGGTTTTAGGTGAGGAGAGCAAAGATAAATAGATTCTGGTGAGGTGATTGAGAGTAAAGGGTGGAATGTGTTCTCTTAGAAAGGATGATGGGAAAAGGCTCTCAGAGCTTGGGCATTGGAGAAATATCTGAAGGCAAAGTAGGATAGAACCCAGAAATCCTATGGGGTTCAAGTCCTTGGGTCTATTTTATGTTAGTGAGAGCTGAACTTTTTTTTCCCACTCCCATCTTTAAATTTCTCATATGATTTTGGAGGAAAACCTTGTAGAAGAAACATTGGCTCTGGGGAGACTCTTCATTTTCTGTTAGACTGAGACTGTGGCCACTTGCACCTTGGGTCTGGGCTGGACCTCCTTCACATTTGATGGCTTTGCCTCCCTGCTGCATCTTGGGTTTTGAGCTCTTGCGAAGGCAGGGGATATTAAAATTACACCTTTAGCCACTTGTCTGCCAGTCCTAGCATGAAGCTGATGCAGGGCAGATGGAGGTTGAGGATGGAAGCTCCTCACATACCCTCCTGCACACCCTCCTCCTGTCCGTCAGGTGGTTATGGGTACTAGACTCGGGGAGAGAGGCTCCTGATTGACAGCCCAGGTGCTGGTTAGTTGTCTCCTATGAGAAGATACATTCACTGGGGAGAAAAGCAAGGCAGATTTCCCCTTCCAAGAATAGGGAGGAAGAAAGTGGTAATTCACTCAGGCAACTAGCTGACAGTAAACCGAGAAATATTCAACCCCTGCCTTCAGGATCTTAAAAGAAAATCTTCAAAGCGTTCCCCAAACCCATGCCCACCAGTGATACTAGTGATGACAGAGGTAAAGGAAAAGCTTTAAGGTGAATTTATGCAAATGAACCCTTCGTCACAAAGAAACAAAGGAAACACATTATCAGCCCTGGGTAGGATTAGGTTGGAAAACTTTTCTATAGGATGTGATACTGCAGCAGGACTCATAGGCCGGAACACATTTGGTGGACCAGGAAGGTTAGGGCATTGCAAGTGGAAGAGAGTTAGTGGTAAAAAGGAGCAGGTGGAAGCAGGATGAAAGATGTGAATTGAGAGGTGCTGGTGGCACATGCTGGGAAGGAGGCTGTCTTGCCCGTGGTGTGGCTCTGGGGACTGGACTTGGCCAGATTCAGTGTTCTTCACATGTCATTCATATACTTTAAAAAATTAGCACTGACCTTATAAATGGAACAGTAGGGCATGACCCTTCCAGTCATGTTGTGGAGCCTATGAATATAAGGGGAATATTTTCTCAACCTAAAACAATTTCACTCCTTTTGAGATTAGAAGCAGTGTGATCTCTCTTTTGCTCTCTAGATTTCACAAGGAACACGCGCTCAGAACTAAATGTTGAGGAATTATTCTAGCACCACTGAATTTTATCTCTTAGGCTTCCCTGGCTCCCCAGAATTACATCATACCTTATTTGCTACTTTCTTCCTCTTCTACTCAGTTACAATAATCGGAAATATGCTTATAATTGTGATGGTCTGTGTTGGTAAACATCTGCAGTCCCCCATGTATTTCTTCCTTGGCCACCTCTCTGTCCTTGAGATCCTGATCACCTCTGTTGCTGTCCCCTTGATGCTCCGGGGATTGCTGCTTCCAGGGATGCAGGCAATATCCCTGACGGCATGTGGTGCACAATTGTATTTATACCTTTCTTTGGGTACATCGGAGTTTATATTAATGGGAGCAATGGCTGTGGACCGTTACGTGGCTGTCTGTCACCCCCTGAGATACAACATCATCATGAACAGCCGCACGTGCTGTTTTGTGGTAATTGCCTCATGGGTGTTTGGGTTCCTTTTTCAAATCTGGCCCATCTATGCCACAATTCAGCTTACCTTCTGCAAGTCAAATGTGATAGACCATTTTTACTGTGACCGAGGACAACTATTCAAACTATCCTGTGATGACAGCCATTTCACACAGTTTATTCTATTTTTAATGGCTGTTTTTGTTATCATTGGTGCTTTGATCCCCACGATCGTCTCCTACACCTATATCATCTCCACCATCGTCAAGATCCCCTCAGTCTCTGGCAGGAGGAAGGCCTTCTCCACGTGTGCCTCCCACTTCACCTTTGTTGTGATCGGCTGTGGCAGCTGCCTGTTCCTCTACGTGAAACCCAAGCAAACGCAGGCAGCTGAGTACAACAGGTTAGCGTCCCTGATGGTTTTAGTGGTGACCCCTTTCCTGAACCCTTTTATCTTCACCCTCCGGAATGACAAATTCATAGAGGCCTTTCGAGATGTCATGAAACGCTGCTCTCAACTCCTCAAGGACTAGTTCTGTCTTAAGGACCATCATGGACACACCATCAAGGACCTGCGTGATCTGAAAGCACTGATTCAAATCTGAAATGATCATTGTCATAACCAAATAGTTTCTGATCTGCAAGGTAACTTTAAAATGCTGACAGTGCTCTAATTTATAACCAGATGATTCCTACTTGGGGAGATCACTTTATTATTTCTTAACAGTATACATACATTAATACAGTAGTTTTAGTATGTCTTACAATATAAATTAGCAAAGTGGTCATACAAAATATGTGCTTCTTTTGGAACGTGCAGCTCTTAGAATGGGAAAAGCAAGGAAAAGTGTAATTCATTCTCCGACAGCTGATCTCCATGTTTGATTCTGGGAGGTGTGGTCATCTTCTCAGAAAGTGTCCTGTGTTTTCATGATTTTCTGACTATATTACCCTGCATTTATTCCCTGAGTGATCCCAAGTCCAGCGTCAGGCTTCAGCCATTTTTCGAGGTTCCTGCCCCAAGGTCACGGTGACGGTACCTCCCTGTAGGTTTTCCTGACTGGCAGTAGTGAGAGTCCATAGCAACCTGAGGGCTGGATGTGGGTCCGTACAGACAGGTCTCCAGTTGGTGGGCTCTGTCAGGGTGTGGAGGGGCGGAGGAGGGGTTTTGGGAAGAGGCATCTACAAACCTGGTGTCACTCACGTGGTCATGCCAGCTCCAGATGTGGGAGGGCCATGGGCTGTCTTCTGGGGCCTAAAGGGACAAGGGAGAGCTGAGCTTGCTGTGTCCCTGGGCAGAGGGGGAATGCCAAGAGGGCAGAAAAGGAGGCCACCCTGGTCACGCCTGCCTGTGATTGTCATGCTGCTCAGCCTGCCCTGGAGCCTCCATCTCCCTTCCCTCTTGGCTACTCCGTCCCATCTCGCCCCATTTCTTCTCTGATTCTTTGTCACGTCTCTCTCTGTGACTGTCAGCTTCATTTCTGTGTTCCTTTCCCCCGTCCCCTTTCTCACAGGGACCTGGTTTACCAGGCTGTCTTCCAGCCCTGCCCTGAGTTCGTCACCCACATGCCTGAGTTTCAGTGTTGTCCCATCCCAGCCCCTGTTCCTGCCACTCCGCTATTCTCAGTATTTCTGAATTGTGTGACACTGCTTTGCAGATTTCTTCAGCATCATTATTTGTAAATACACAAGTTTGGTTTAGCAACCCAAATGCATATCAAAAGGTGACTACTTAAATAATTTGTGGACATTCCTTTCAGTCAGATATTAGGCAGGTATAAGAACATTGAAGTATTTAATGTCATTAAAGAAAGCTCTCCAGATATGCTGTTGAGTAAAAAAGCAAATAATAAAAAATTTTGCTTAGTTTGTTACCTTTCATAAGAAAGAAGTGAAAATTAATTTATTTGAAATTTGGATATGTTTACATGAATAAAGGTTTGGGAGGGGAACTCAGGTAAAAGTGGTCGTCTTGGGAATGGGCAGGTCAGTATGGGACTGATCAGAATAGTGCTGGGAGAAAGACTCTTCATTGTGTAGGACTTCACAGTGTTTCCAATTCTACTTCATAACAATGCTTTACTGATTCAAAAATAAAAGAAATTATCCCATTTCTAATTGCCAAAAGATGCCTGCTTATTTCTGCAAACATCTTTCTGTAGCAAGGGAGATTGGCAGAAGAGTCTTCCTAAGTCTAGATACTTAGTAAAGTTTCTGTAGAGCTGAGTAGAAAAAAATGGGAGAATAATAGGGGAAGAGAGATGGAGCCTCAGACTTTTTAAATCCTGAGTCTTTGGCTACTTTTGTAAGGATATAGAGCTAATCTTTAATGTTGTAGATACCTATTTTATATTATATGATGTGTGTGTTGGAAATATCTTTTATAAGTCTGAGTTTTGAAATCTGTGGTGCAGAAGTATTAATTTTATTGTCAAATTTAATTTTTCTTCTATGACTTGTATTTGTGTATATTATTTAAATAGTCCTTTTCCACTCAAAGGACTTACCTACAGGCTCTTATAATAGCTATATACTCTGTTAATGTACATATATTATTATTTTTTAAATAGGAGAATAATGGGAGGAGCATATACAAAATTTTTGCCAGTCTTCAGTAATCATATTGCTGGAGATAATATTAGTAGTATTATTCTGGGACTGTTGTGTGTGTAATGTAAAATAAAGCAGGGGAATAATTATGGAATAGTCTAGTTCAAAAATACAGGTTAGGTAAGGTCTCTAGAGTCTTGTATTTAAATTGCACATATGTATCACTAGGCGCAGATTGTGGTCTTGCAATACTGTTTCCCAATATGAGAAATAAGGGCTTCTTGGAGAAGAAGCTGTTTCCAGGTCTGGGGCAGGAAATCTACAAGGGGAGCTCAGGCTATGGTATTTTATCTGATATCAAAGATTATGAGGGTCATGTTCAAAGGATTCAGGAGCCAACTGGAGGAGACTTGTACTGGCCAAAGATGAGAGAAGTTGTGCTTCAAACAATATAATAGTTGCAACCATTGAAATCTGTCAAATGTATTTAAATCCTAGGGTTCATGTATTTAAATCCTATGATTTTTGAAAAAGCAGTCACCTTCAAAAGGTCATATTCATTAATCATTAGACACATAAGTCCCATCAAGCCTCTGAAATCAGGTGCCAAGTTACAGAAAAATATGCAGAGAAGAGAAGGACATGTTTATGTGATGAGGATGGACTCACCACAATCCAGACCATGAGAAACTCTCTAGTGGAAAAACCTGGGTTCTTCAACGAATAGAGTGGAAGGAAATGAATGGGCCATAGAAAGAATCTGTAGCTTACAATAGACTTAAACACATACCAAATGAAAAAAATGTAGATGATTAAGCTGTAGTAGATGACAATTCAGACTGGCAGGGTAATATCATTAAAAGAAATGCATGGAGCAATTAGTATGAAGGTCTGGGTTGCAGTTATTTGGGGATATTAGGATTGTAATTAAAATGAGACACATAGGCAGGCTTCTGGGTTTGCTATCAAAGTTCTACTTCTTGATCTGGGTGGTGGTTTGTAAGGATGTTCACCTCATAATAATTTATTAAGCTATGCATATATTGTAGCATTTTATATTCATGTTTTATTTTAAAATCAAGTGATTAAAAAGTCATCTATATAGTCTTCCAACAGTTTTAATTTTTTTATTTAGGTATGTTTTTAAAGAAATGATCATTATGCATTCTCTTGAAATCATGCACTTTAGGCAGGGATTAAATACCAAAGATTTATTTAGGAGGCTGTAATCCTAGTAGAGCAAAAGTAAAGGAATTTGGCGCCGAAGGCATGGGAAACAGTGTGGTGTGATGAGATACCCTGCTGACCACTGTTTTCTGATGAGCTACCCTCTCTGGCCGTGTAGGGTTACTCTGGTCAGGCTTCATGGGGAACTGTGTTCTGAAGAGTCCTTTGACGTATGGATGGGAGAGGGAAGTGGTTTGCCTGCTTCTTCCATGCTCCTGTTCTCTCCCCTTTCAGTAGGACCCCAAATTGTGTTTATCTAAATGTTTAAGTGACCGGAGGAGCTGGGAATTCTGGGAGTGGGGCTGGTTTGCCCAAGGAGGTGATAGTTAAGGCTGAGCAAGAGATTGAGAAAACAAGTGCGATTGAGAGAACCTGAAGAGACTTACAAGAAAGCATTAGAATTCTAATGATTTTTCCCCACAGAGATTGTTACAAAACAATTTACAGAAAATCAGGCCTTTTCACATTTTTTGAAATGTCATACTATTATATAACAAATACTTTTACTTAATGGCTCTGTTTTTAGCCTCTCTAATCCTATTTATGTGATGTATTATTTTATACTGACGGTACTAATCCCATACAAGTTTGCAATAAATGTTAATATTAGTAGGACATGTACAGCCTCCTTTTTTATTAGATCTAATTTGGTTATTCTTGACTATCTCTAAACTCTTACATATGATTTTAAAATAATTATTTTGCAAGTGTTATGAATGAATGTTCTAAGGAATTTAATTAAAATTACATTGCCACCTCTTAAATCATTCTATGAGGCCAGCATTACACTAATATAAAAGCCAAACAGAGACAAGAAAGGGAACATACAGAACATTCTCTCTTATGAACATAGGCACCGAAAACCTCAATACAATATTAACAAATCACACCAGTGATACATAAAAAGGATAATACATTACAAACAAGTAGGGTTCATTCCAAGAATGCAAGACTATTTCAACATTAAAAAATTAATTAATGTTATTCTTCATTTAAATGAATTAAATAAGAAAATCTATATGATTAAATTAATTAATAAGCAAGGAATATTTGACAAAATTCAACATTCATTCATTATAAAACTTTCAAAAATAGAAGGAAACTTCCTTAACTGAATTGGGTATTAAAATAAAAGCCCTACAGCTGTTGTCTTATGTAATTGTGGCAGACCGAATGCTTTTGCCCTACTAAGACTGGGAGCAAGGTAAGTACCCTCTCTCACTAGTCCTGTTTAATATTGATTGTACTGGAAGGTTTGGTGCAATTAGGTCAGATAATAAAATCAAAGATACATGGGATGTTAAGGAAGAAGAAATATCTTTATTCACAGATGTTATGATTATCTATGTATAAATCCCCTAAGAATCTACAAAAACAAACAACACCCTCCTGGAAGTAGTGACTTTAGCAAGGTTGCAGGATATGCGGTCTGTGTGCAAAAGTCAGCTGCTTTCCTGTATATTAGCAATGAAACCATTAGAGTTGAAATTTCTAAAATGGCACCATTTTGGATAGCACTAAAAAAGTGAGGGACTTAGGTATAAAGTTAATAAAATATGTTTACGAACTGTAGTGGAAAACTACAAATCACCAAAGAAAGAAATCATAAACGCTCCAAATAAATGAAGAGGAACACCATGCTCATGGATTGGAAGACTCAGTATCATTATGATGTTCATTCTCTCCATTTTCATTCTATAGATTCATTGTAATCCCAACCAGATTCTAGTAAAGTTTTATGTAAATAGTGATAAAGTGATTCTAAGACTTAGAAATGCAAAGGTAATAGAAGAGTCAAAACAATTTTGAAAGAGAACTCAGAGGACTCACCTTACCTGATTTCAAGAACTTCCATAAAGTTACATTGATCCAGACAGTGTGGTATTGGAAAAATGATAGAAATATATAAATACATAATCACTGTACTCTAATTGGTG